CCTTTGGAGAGTCTTCCAAAAGACCATTTATAAATCATTAATTTTTTATATTTGTATTATAAAGTAATCTAAAGAAAGTTTACACAGACACAGAGTATATTTTCCACAGTTCACAAAGCATGTTTCAATCTTTCCTGAAGGAATAGCATTCACTAAAGTATATCCAAATATGTTTTTAAAGTGTAGGATCTTACCAAAACATAACAAATGAGCAAAAGGGGTGGGGGGAGAGAGACAGACCAAGAAACAGACTCTTAAATATAGAGAACAAACTGATGATTACCAGAGGGGGGGTTGGGGTGGGGGGGATGGGTGAAATAGGTGATCCGGATTAAGGAGGGCCCTTGTCATGACGAGCACCTGGTGATTAAATTAAAAACTAAAAAAAATATATATATAGGATCTTACCAAAAATGATTGTACCTAATTACGCCAACCTCATTAATACATCTCTCCTTTTTAAAATCTATACCAACATGAATTTAGATAAACTGCTTCCTTTAACCAGACCATATCAATTTATTTTTCATTTGCAAATTACGCATTACTTGAACTAAAATCATAGATGCTCAATTTAAATGTGCATGTATTGAATGCCTACTGTGCATAACATATGCAATCTGATTTCATCCTCATGGCACTCAGTTCTATCTGGTTGTTATCGCCCCTATTTTACAGATGAGCAAACAGACTCAGAGAGGTTAAATAGTGCATGTAACACACGTGACACAGTGGAAAGCTGAATATTCATATTCACTTATGGTGCCAGTGTCCAAGTTTACCAAATTTCTTAGTCACCTTTAAGGAGCACACAAAAAAGTAAAATCTATGAAATGGTAAGAACTTCCATAGATGATTTCCATCTCATCTCAAGATCAGTGAAAATGATTAGCTTTAGAATGCTTTTCCAAAATGAACACAGATTTCAAATTGTTTTCCTAACTGAAAAGCCACAGTATAAAATTCCAATGGGCAATCCCTCAGCCTGTCTTGTTATCATCCACAGATATGATATCAAGAATAACAATAATTAAAACAGTAGGACTCTTTTTCCCTCTAAGGAAGAACAGGTCTCCGGAAACATTGAGGAAATGGACAGAACACAGGGTTGCTGTTGTAGACAATGAAATTAGGAGCAATGACCATGACCGGCTGCCTCAGAAAACCCCTGGCAAGTTGGTGTTGGGAGATTAGCACATGCAACCTATAAGACAAGTATGTCTACATGAAATCTTGATTTCATAGACTCTATCAGGCCTTTATCCTATCACAAAAGAGGTTTAACCAACATAGGATTCCTTATATCTAGGAAGCCTATGCGTCCAAATTGTGAACTTGGGGGCCTTAATATTAGGAACGGAATTTTACACTATCTACTTTAAATTATATAATTACCTAGAAATCTGCCTCTATTTTGAGCATTCCAGAGCCAGACATTGTAACAGACAGCTAAAATTATACATTTAATATATAAGAGCTATCATATGCAACTTTTCGACCCATAGTACACACAATAGAATTATTTTTCTCCAAAATCTCTCTCAAGTGTTGTTTTTGCCGAGATTTATGTTTCTATACTTTAAGGAGAAAATCTTGATTTTTCGGCTTCTGGCTGGAAGCAGTATTTCCTATCTAAAATGATATCTTGCAGCCAATCTGTCCTGATAAGACATCAAAAGAAGAATCTGGCAACTCCTGTGAGGTCAGTTGCACATTCCCTAGTTTTTGAGCGTAGCCACTAGAACTGGTAAAGTGCTCAGCCAGCCTGTATTAATTCCCAGGAAGTTAATCCAAATTAATCCAAGAACAATCACAACAAACAGGCCTCCTTAGAGGGCCTATTATGCCTGGGGCTTTGCATAACATTACTTTTAATTCACAAAACCATTCTAATTTGTTGACATTACCATTCCCATTATACAGATGAGGAGAAGATTGAGGGTCAGAGAAATTAAAGTTATTGCTCAAAGGGCACAGCAATTAAATCAGAGTGGGAAGATACTTGAAAAAGTAACTTCAGGGGCGCCTGGGTGGCTCAGTTGGTTAAACGACTGCCTTTAGCTCAGGTCATAGATCCTGGAGCCCCAGGATTGAGTCCTGCATTGGGCTCCCTGCTCAGCAGGGAGTCTGCTTCTCCCTCTGACCCCCCCCATGTGCGCGCTCTCTCTCTCTCTCTCTCTCTCTCTCGTTCTCTCTCTCTCAAATAAATAAATACAATCTTAAAAAAAAAAAAAAAAAAGTAACTTCAGAACTTGGAAAACCCAGCAGCTTTCTGGGCCTATGGCCCTCTGCAGAATCTGAGTATTCAACTACCTACTCACAAATATCACTCAAAGGGCACCAACCTTGGCCCTGAAATAAGCTGAAATGAGGTAACTTTCCTGCTCTTGCATGGTCAAAATTCTTTCATCAGTCCATGAGCAAGTTGCTTAGAATACCGGGCCAACCCTGAATGACAAACAAAAGGAGCTAAACCCCAAGCTGGGCAATGCGTCCCTAACTGTAGTGGAAGTGATTCACCAGCATGAAAAATGATGCCATCCTTAGATGCTCCATCATCTCTAGATCTGAAGAACATGTTTAAATGGAGGTGAGTGGGAGGACACATTTCAGCCCACAACTTTAAACATATCTCTACCCTCTTTCTCTCTCTCCTTCTCTCTATCCCCCACCCCCTTCCCTTCTTTCTTCTTTTTCTCAGAAAAGTTTGCATGTGTGCAAGTGTGGAGGGTACCGAGAGGAGCTGACAATGTTTAGGAGAGGAATGTACTTTCAGGTCTAACTGGAGTAGTAGTGAAGACATTTTGAATTCAAAAAGGAAAAAAAGAAAGAAAGAAAGAAAGAAAGAAAGAGACAGATCTCCACGGATTAACAGAAGCCAGGCTGACTGCAAGGCTGGGGGGTTTCCCACGTGATGTCCAGAGCTAAGCAGTAAAAACAAGTACTTTTTCCCCCCTCTTTTGTCACTTGTGCTAAGTTGCAACGTAACAGGAACTTGAGATAACTTGAATCAATTTATTATCGCAAGCAGTGACTTAACTGTGGTCATGTAAAAAACAAAATAAAAAAGCAAACAAACAAACAACCTGCAAGGAATTCTAAGATATGCAGAAGGCTACAAGGAGCTCAGGGGAGAAAAAAAAATCCTGCATGATTATTTTCATAGGTTGATAAATGTATTGCCTGATCTGTGTCCCAACAGGAAACATGTGGCCAGAAAAATAAATTAAAGAAGTGCTCAGCTGTAGGCTAGTTTAGTTAAGGAGTAATGAAAAGGATGAGAATAGATGATGTGAGTGTAAAAACAGACTCAGAGGCTTTTAGCAAGGGTGTTTCTGGTTTCTATTATCACCTCCCTAATATAAATCTAACTCCACGGTTCTTAATGCCTCTCCAGGGACCACCACTCACCAGGTTAAATGTGCCCAACACCAAGGAGGGATCCAGGAGATTTCGGCCTCTTATCTCCTTTGGGATATACCAGAGTTGGGGATCTTTTTTAAAAATATTTTTAGTAGTATTAAAACTAGGATTATCTGAGTTCTGCTATTAAAAAAAAAAAAAGTATTAGAAAGGATATGAATATTGTAGATGGGCTACTCCTGAGGTCCAGAGTGGTCAGAGTTTATGTCAAGCTTTCAGGACAGGTTCCTTCCTTGACCCTTCTAGGTAAAAATGGCAGCCGTGGGGACAGAAATAGCCACGCTAGATAGGGTTGATTCTTGTCCAGCTTGGATCCCAGACTGACTTTTGTCTGCTGTTTAAAGGCTTGTGAGTTACCTGTCTCCTAAGGTTTGGCCATTAAGCAGAGTTATAGCTTCTCTAGGCCTCAGTTTCCTTTTTTTATTGGCATTAGATCTCTGAGGAGTCTTCTGGCTCTAAAGTTATATGAGTCTATGATTCTGATAGAAGGCCCCAGAGAGGAATATTGAAGGATGAAGAGGGAGAGTTCTGTTAAAAGAAAAAAAAAAAAAAAAAAAAAAAAAGCCAGCTCCATGACCCTGGAAGTGATGGGGGAGGAAGGAGATGGAAAGAGGGGTGATCCTACAGGCCCCCCAGGCTCTCTGAGCATTTTCAACCTTCTCTTATTGATCTTTATTGGCCTCTCTCTCCCAAGACAAAGCTGGCACATGAGAAACACTGGTGCTCAATACACAGACCTTTTCTTTAGCTCCTTATCTAAGTTACCACAGGACACCAGATTTCTGCCTTTTTCTCAAGAGTCCTGTCTTGATGATGTTGGGAAGATTTCTGGCAAAACCCAAGTCAACTGCCCAAGCCACCTTCAATCTCTGGACAGCCTTTCTGTTATCCAAAGAAGTGGTTAGTTTGAAGGGGGTGGGGTCGAAAAAGAAGTGGGTCCTCCTTCCCATTCTTAGCACAGGGGAGAACCTAGGTAATCTGAAGGCCACATTTGAGCATGTGTATGCAAGGAGATGGGGGAAAGTGCAGCCACCTCTCTCCACCACTTCCTCCCCCCGTGCCCACTCTCCCTCCCGCCACCCACCCACCCTCCAGAAGCCATCCTTCATCTGCTTGGTTTATTATCATATTTTTGTGTTAATACATTCTGTTGATCTGCAATGTCAGGTTGGATAATGAAATTTAAATTGGTCCCTTCGATTTCCAATGGCTAAACATTTGTGCATCTAACTCCAAGGCTGCCATGCAACTTAAACGCATTCCAGAGTGTCAATCACACAGCCACAGGCACCCCACACTGCAGCGGCTTTCTTGGGGAGATTTATTTTTTTCCTGGTACACATTTGCAAAGGCATTTGCCCAGGATGCAGACAACCTGCATCATTATAGCAAACCGGCCTATTGGTGAGCACAACCTGATGGAACAGAAGCCTGGGTCACCCTCTCCCTATTTTCTGGCCCCCAACAGCCAGGTCTTTAAGAATCCCACCGAAGGGGTGCAGGGATCAAGGAACCAGGAATGCTAAATTAATGGGTATTTTCTCCATCAATAAAAAAAGAAAATAAGAATCACTCACTGTATTTCAGACAGGTCACAGCAACATCCAGATGGAAATCCAGGTGGTTAAGAACAAGCGAAAACGCATGATCTTGACACCAAAAAGAAAAAAAAAAGGTGGGGGGGAAGGTTGATGAAGAAAAATCCAACTGCAATTATCCATCAATTTTAGTCAACATAGGCACAAATCCAACTGTGCTCTCTGCTGGTTTCTCTCCCCCAATCAATGCCTCATTCTGCCGCGGTCAACTTCTCCGAAATTTCTTTGCAGATGTATTATTAATTCCCTCTCCTCTTGTGGGAAATTCAAAAAGGAAAGAAAACACCACCATAGCAGGTCTTTACTTTCCTAAAAAAAAAAAAAAAAAAAAAAAAAAAAGCCCCAAACTTTCAATTCCAAAAATATCTCCTTGGCTTACTTTCTCCTTTACAGAGAAAAAAGAGCATACTTTTTCTTTGTGGAGCCTCCGTTCTCCATTTCCAATCATCCTTTTTTTGGGGGGGGGGGGGCAGCTGTTTTATTATTATTTATTTATGTCAGAACACACCGAGCCGCGTGGGTCTGACACGGGTTTATTTCATTTTTCAAGGCTCCCTGTGTGCACACATACACGTTTGTGTTAAGATCCAGGTCTCACAAGAAAAAGCTTCCTTCTTCGTTTTCTCTTGCACAATCAGTTTATCCACTGCGTTCGGTTCCAAGAGAGAGCTGCGTCCCGCATCCTTCATTTTTACAAGGCACCCGACAGCCACCGCCACCAAAAGAAGTCTCCGTTTGCATCGTTGATTCCTAACCCCTAACTCCCCCTTCGAAGGATTTGGGGCTCAACTCCCCCCACTCGCCAGCCTTCCGGCCGGCCCCTTCCCCGAATATCTGATTAGATTTCTCATCACAACCCAGTGCGCAATCGGATTTTTGATTTCAGCCACCCGGCCAGCCACCTTCCCCTCTCCCTCCAAACTCCCTGTTACATCCTGCCTCCTTCCCTCCACCGCCTCTGCAATTTCATAATCTCACGTTAAATGGAGTGCGGGGGGCGGGGGCGGGGGCGGGGGCGGAGGTAGTGGAGGAAAATTTCAAGGCTCCGTCAGCTGTCAAGAAGAAAATCATTCCTCCCTCCCCCCCCCCCCGCTACTTTTTCTTCTTCTTCTTCTTTTTAAGGCTCGGGGTGGCTTTCGTTTCCTCTGTCCCCGCCCCCACCCCGGGCACCGGGTCCAGATCCTCCAGGTGTTGCAGAACTCCGCGATCAGGGCCGGGATCACGGGGGAGACGCGTGACGCGGTCCCTCGCGGGTGGCCCCTGCCAGCCCCGGGGTCCCCTTCTCCTCCATCAGCGGGCAGCGCATCCGGGGGCGCCGCGGCGAAAGAAGTTCAAACTGGGCTTTTTATTTCGAATGGGGAAGGCGGAGTGAGGGGACCGACGGGGTGTTAGGCAAATTTAAAAATCATAATAAGGAAAGAAAAGAGGAAAGTAGAAAATGGAACGAGGGAGGTTAAACATTAAAAAAAAAAAAAAAAATCCCTAATCGCTGGCTCCTCTCATCCTTCTCGAATGAAACTGCAGCTTTGGTCTCATTTCCAGCTGCGTCGGGTGCATTTAGGAGCCACAAGTTGGCCTCTCTTCGCGCAGACCTTCTCGACGCCGGCTGGTTCTCGGCGAGGAGACGCGTTCTCGGGAGCGCAGCTGCCCCGCGCCGTCCTCAGCGCCATCGCCCTGGCTCGCGATTCCCTGCGCGGCAGAAACCCCGGTCCCCTCCCATCCACCTCGGCTTAACTCTCTTCCCCTCCCGCCCGCTCCTCTCCCCGCTCTCCCCGGATAAATAAATGCGCTCCTTGTGGCCGTGGCAGCTCCTGCCACTCTAGGCTTTCTCTCAGCCAATGCCGCGTCCTGACGTTTTGGGTCCTAGTCCCCAAATCTCCTCTCGGACTGCAGTCCCCTTCCCTCCTCTGCCCCTCTTTCTTTCCCCTTTTCCTTTCCCTTGCTCTGCTTGTGATCAGTAAAATGCAATTACCCAATTACCTCCCATCATCTTAGCACCGATTGGTCAATTGCATTAACACTTGAAGTCGGGGACGAGGGGGTTGGAGCCTCTGCGGTGTGGCACCGCTGCCACCTGGAGGGCAGAGCCAGAACAGCTGCGTTTCAAAGCAACCCCCAAAGCTCGGAGGTTAAGAATAGGCAAAGAAACTCAGGGATTGTGTGGCCCAAGTTATTTATTTATGTTTTTCTTTCTAAAAGCCTGCCTGTTTTCCTCCTGAAAGCCAGGAGTTGGAGCTACAAAGGGGAAGCCACTGAAATCCAGTCACCACTAGGATTCAGAAATAGCACCAAACACACAAAGTTGCTGTTTTCAGATGGCTGGGCAAGAGACTCTCCTCTCCCTAGCCACGCAGGCAGGTCATAAGGCAAGGATTAACACGGTAGTATTACCCAGGATAGGCTGATGAGAAGGAACCTAGGAGTAACTGAAAAGCTGCAAGGAAGGGAGACTGGTCCAGGAGGATAATCTCAACATGCGAAAGCACTGTACAGACGAGATAGGGGCCTTCAGCCTATGCAGTGTTGCAGTAAATTGGCCTGTTCAGTTTGTGCAAGACATCCAGGACAGCTTGACAACTCAATTCCAACATCCTTCCTCCTGGTTGTGGGCTTTTCCATCAACGCATGTTAAGGGGTCCCGGTGTGGCGGCGGGGGGGTGGGGGGGGCGGGCGGGGCGAGAGGTACATTTCAACTTCACAGAGTGTTCTTAGAAGGACGGAGGGGCCCACGAAACATTAGTACTACATTCATGTTGGTTTCTTTCTCCACCACATACTTGTCAATAAAGAAGTTTATATGTTGGAGGAGATGGGCAAATATGTATCTGCTTTAGGCTCCCAAATTAATGATCTTTGTGCTGATTTTCTTTATTTTTGAGAGATCAGAATATGTAATTGGCTTAAAAACAGTTTTAAACAAAGTGAGTTAATCATAATGAGAAATGTCATTAGACAAAAAGGAGATTTTTACTAAGGGAACATCAGAGGCATATCCAAGTTCACACCAAATGTTCTTTTTTTCTTTCCTGTTCCCTTTATAGTGCATGGATATTTTCTCACTTAGCATTAGAAAATTTAAAAAAGAATTACATCTATACATTTATTTGGGTACTGAGCACATGCCCTCATATATATCTTAAATGTCAGCATCTGCAAGGGGAAAGCCTTTCTTTACACATGGATTGTGATTTATTATAATTTCCCCATCTTTTTGGAGAGCTTTGGTGTAGTTATGAATCGCATCGACATGTGAATTTGTTGAGGCGTAATGGCATTGCTTCTATTTTTAAATAAATGCTGTACTGATTGACTTAAAACATTAGTGGGCAGTTGACTATAACTTTGTCTTTTGAAGCTCTTACCCTTATATGCCAATTAAAGTTTATCAACTAATAAGCCATTAAAAAGTACACTTACTAGTTGCTCTAGATAGCTTCAAAGGAGTCTACCCTCTGGTTCTGAAGTAAACTAGAAGCCATTTGAAATGCAAATTTTCTTTTTAGAGACTTTGACAGCAAGGGAAAGGCCAATGATTTGTTTTTCAAAGCTGATTATTAGCTACCTACCAGACATCTTTAAAGCCTTTCAGCATGAATTAATCTATTAACCAAAGCAGCAGGGAAGGATCAGTGCTATTTAGCCAAAAGGAAAAAGGAAAGGCTTCCCATTCCTGTTTAGCTTCTCATTCGGCAGCTACAATTTCTTTTTCCACGTCAGCTACCCATTCACACTATAATGACCTTGCACTAGTCACTCGGTTTTCATTTTTTGATTCAGACTCGAACCAGTGATTATTGGGCATCCATATGGCATGCTCTTTTGCTAACTTCTCATAATAATCACTTTATTTAAAACTCAAAACAACCCCTTAGGAGATTTTTAAAGATGGGGAAAGTGATGCGAAAGCCACATACTTGGTAAATGACACAGACAAGTTTTGAACCCAGATTTACTCAATACCAATTATCCCATTTTTGCTACTACTTCTGGGTAGTATGGGGGAATACATCTAAGATGGTCACAGGCATGCAGGCTATGGTTATCAGCTCTGAATCCCAGGAGGTAAATGTGTCACCCTGTGGGGAAATGGAATTGCCACATTTGTCGCCGAAGGATCTTACTCAAAGAGAACTGAAATAATCAGTAAACAAGCTAACTGTCATACAAATGCACATGCAAACTAAATTGTTAATTAAATAATGACATAAATGTAGATATTTATTCAGTAGAAGTTGCCAGGTATTGTCAACAATGACAGGGTATATGTTCAAGTAAAATTCTTGATAAAAGCTCTTTTAGGGGAGATAATTACCCATTGAGCAATGGAATGGGTAACTTTGTCACAGTTCCAGTTAGCCCACCTGAGTGACCAAAAGCTTGGACAGGACAAATGCCATTAAAATGAGACGCCCCAGGAGAAGAGGAACATGGTGTTAACAAGGCAGGTTTGTCTAAGCACATACAGAATTCTATGTTTGTTCTCCATTCCTGATTTGTAGGCATTTGGTTGGTGAAACAAAACTATCATGTTATTTCGCTGTGTGTTGGTGACTTTACCTGGTGTAATCTTCAGCAAACAGCAGAGGACAGCATCTTGTAACCAGAAATACAAAATAGCAAATAGAAGGCATTCAGTAACTTTGCTTAAACATTGAGAAAATGTGGATGTTTATTAATTTGATTTAACAGACTTTAAGCTGCTCTATCCAAGCCCAATACATACTTATGATTTGGGTCTTTCTGTTACAAATTCTGGGGATAGATAGCCCATTTTCACTTCCAATTCTATTAAACAGGGCCAGAATATCCTGTGATAATCTTATGAAGTTCGCCTCTATTGTTACACATAATGACATGTGAATTAACATCTTTAGACCAACTTCTTTTGACAACTACTTTAATGATAAAATCCCATATTTAGTGGGAACTTACTACATGTATTACACTAGACAAAATGTGATGCTAGACAAGAATGTTGTATTTCAGAACCGTAAGATATCCTAATGATCATCTATTCTTTGTTCCTTGAAATACAGATGAAGATACTAAAGTCCAAGAAGATTTGCAGGTTTCTCTTTCTACAATGACTACCCCTCCACCCAGCTCCCACCCCGTATGGTCTTACTTTTCAATGCTTTCATACTTATTTTTTTTAGCAATAACTGGCATTCAATGATAGTTTAT